GTCATACCGGAGCCCTGACAGGAGCAGTGGCAGGATAGTTTGGGACTTGGAGTCATCCTTTTTCCATATGGGGTTACCGTGGAGAATGAACGCGTATGGGGTACACGTGGACACTTTTTATTCAAGCGTGCCACTATTTAGACATTTGTACGATCTTGAAATTGGCAGGTGGCACCATGCGACCTAATTATCTGGGCTTCCATCAATGGCTTGTAAATACCCATCTTAGAAAGGGCGAAAAAGCCTGCTTGAGAAATGAAGATGTCATTCAGCTGCAGCACCGACTTGTTTATTCTGACATCAACAGGGTCTTGCTCTCAGAATATACATAAGTAGGTGTGTACAGTACTGTTGGATAAGAATTTTCATCTGCAGTTAAAGAGCACATATGCCAAAGCATGGGGGCCTGGGGTGGCCAGTGGGTGGATGGCCCCTATGCTTCGGCATATATATTTTATAATATTTTTGGCACTTTTTTATGTGTGCCCACCATTAGAAGTGGGTGGATGCAGGGCGGTATATTCTAATGGTGGGCATACCACATACTTTTTCTGGCAGAGACTTCTCAGGCATTTGATAAGAAGCTTGGTGAGTATTTTGCAGATCACGTTTCTTGCCACAAGTTTTTGGATAATGAAGAATGAAAACAAAAACATTTTTTCTTTTCTTTTTTTATATTTCAAAACCTTGTGAGAAAAAATGAGATATGCAAAATACTCACCATGCCTCTTTTTAAATTCCTTGGGGTTTGACTCTATCCTGGCATTTCAGGGCCTCCGAAACTGCGATAGGTAGTGAGGAAGTGAAATGAAGAAGTTACGCACCTTCAGGCTTTCAAAGTGGTCATTGGATTTCAGGCTCCAATGTGTGGCTAGGCTCCCAAAAACTCTCACACGTGGTATCCTCATACTCGGTAGAAGTTGCAGAATGTATTTTGGGGTGTAATTCCGCATATACCCATGGCTTGTGTGAGCAATATATCATTTAAGTGACAACTTTGTGTGAAAACAAAAATGTTTTTGTAATTTTCCAAAAACTTGTGGAAAAAAAATAAATCTTCCATGGACTCAATATGCCTCTCAGCAGATAGCTTAGGGTGTCAACTTTCCGAAAAGGGGTCATTTGGGGGTGTTTGTACAGTCCTGATATTTTAGCACCTCAAGAAATGTGATGGCCAGTCAGAAAGTAAAAGCTGTGTAAATTCCATTATCTATACCATAGTTTGTAGATGCTATAACTTTCACACAAAGCAATCAATATACATTTATTGGGATTTTTTTACCAAAAACATGTAGCAGAATACATTTTGGCCTAAATTTATGACAAAATTTTAGTTTTTTGGGATTTTTTTTATGACAGAAATGAGAAAAAAATATTGTTTTTTTAAAAAAAATTTATTCTTTTTTTGTTTATAGCATGAAAAACAAAAAGCACACCTGTGATTAAATACCACCGAAAGAAAGCTCTATTTGTGTGAAAAAAGGACATAAATTTCATTTATGTACCATATTGCATGACCGTGCAATTGTCAGTTAAACTAGTGCAGCTCTGTTTAGCAAAAAATGCCTTAAATTGCAGTATCTATACCATAGTTTGTAGATGTTCTAACTTTCACATAAAGCAATCAATATACACTTATTGGGCTTTTTTACCAAAGACACGTAGCAGAATACATTTTGGACTAAATTTATGACTACCTTTGAGTTTACTATATATTTTTTATAGCCGAAAGTAAAAAATATTGTTTTTTTTTTTTTTTTTCCATAATTTTTGGTCTCTTTTTTGTTTATACCACAAAACATAAAAAGCGCACAGGTGATCAAATACTACCGAAAGAAAGCTGTTTTGTGTGAAAAAAAAGACATAAATTTTGTTTGAGGTACAGCATTGCATGACCGCGCAATTACCAGTTGAAATAGTGCAGCGCCAAACAGCAAAAAAAAGGCCTGGTCAGGAAGGGGGGTAAATCCTCAGGAGGGCAAGTGGTTAATGAGCATTAACACTAGTTGTATCCCTGCACTAATGCATTAATTGCCATAATTCTGGTCAATAGAATGTACTGATGCCAAATGCGGACGCACACATGAATGAACACAGCTTTTTACCATGTTTTTGCTGCCAAACTCCTGTAGGACAAAAAAGCTTCAATAGGATACAAGCGGTTGCCACCTCATCCCTTTAAACACAAACACATATTAACCACTTGCCCTCCTGAGGATTTACCCCCCTTCCTGACTAGGCCATTTTTTGCAATATGGCGCTGCATTATTTTAACTGACAATTGCACAGTCATGCAACGCTGCCCTCAAGTGAAATGTTTATTGCCTTTTTCTCCCACAAATGGAGCTTTCTTTCGGTGGTATTTGATTTCCTATGCGGTTTTTATTTTTTGTGCTATAAACAAAAAAACACATAATTTAAAAAAAATATATATTTTTACTTTTTGCTATAAAACATATCCAGTAAAAAAATGTTAAAGATCATAAATTTAGGCCAAAATGTTTTCTGCTATGTCTTTGCTAAAAAAAATTCCAATACATGTAAATTAATTGGTTTACGTGAAAGTTATAGCGCTTACAAATGGCGGTGTATATATACTGGAATTTTTTTTTTTTATATACTAGTAATGGTGGCGATTAGTGAATTATAGCAGGACTGCGGTGGGTATTCTGACACTGGGGGGGAACTGTCACTAACATTCTCGGTGGCACCAATACAGTGATCAGTGCTAATAAAAAGCACTGTCACTGTACTAACGACACTGGGCAGGAAGGGGTTAACATGTGGGGTGATCAAAGGGTTAACTGTGTGTGGTGAGTGTTTTACTGTGTGCTATGCTTTACTGTATAAGCACGCTGCTTTGTATTGCTCTGCTAGCAGAGCAATGAAAACAGCGTGCTGGAGCTGACGGGAGAGATCTGGATTGTTTACATACAGACCTCCCCCCCAATCAGTGATACTTGGCGATCATCAGCAGGGGGACCCAGTGATTGACAACTGAAGCTGCCAATGGCAGCATGGGTAGGACATGCGTGCCCCCCCCCCCCCCCAGAAATACTAAATCACGAATGTGATTTTGCGCAGCCCTGCCGCCCTGTAGCAGTTCTTCAATAGGGCAGTGGGGAAGCGGTTATTAATGCAGATAAGGCACTAAATGCATTTAATTACCACCTTAATCAGCCCCATGACCTACGTGTAATTAACGTGTTCAGGTTCAGAGGGACGAGGTGGCAACACTAAACATACATAAAGAGTGTCTATAATAAATGTGGCTCAATTGTCTATTTTTACCGTCCCCCCCTAACTGCAAATGTCAATAAGCCCTAGGCTCTCAAGTTTGTTTTTTTTCTTCTTTGTCCCACTGGAGATATCTCTGTTCAATAGAAATGTCTCCTGAGGGAAACCCCCTGTAGGATAGGTGTCACCGTGTCTCCACTGTTCCTGTTCCCTCGGTGACAACGGCTTCCACTAGTAACAAGGGAGGGGATGAGAAGGACCCCTCTGTTTCCATACACACAGCTCGCACCTGTCTCCGGGCTGTGCCCGCACTTCCGGTGTGCAGAGCGCCAACTTCCTCGGGTCCCGGGAAGAGGGAGCGCGCGTTCTCCTGTACGGAGGGGATTGGTCTGTACGGCGATCCGTAGCTGATCATTGTAGTGAATGGAGCGGAGTGTGGAGTAGTGTTTTCCGGACTTGGACAATGGAGCACACCGTACAGAATGTCACCCTGGCTCTGACTCTGCCGATCAGCTGTCACATCTGTCTGGGCAAGGTAAGGATTTGTATAGGGAGAGCCGGGGCACTGGTCTTCCCTCCCTCCATGGTGATAGCAGAGGTCAGGCATGGGAGCCGGCTGGAGGGGACCATCAATGGAAACAATGTAATGACACAGAGGACGTATCAGGTGTGACCTGTCAGTGCTGCCTGACACGAACAATGGTAGTGTAGGGATGCTGGGACCGGCTCTTATGGAACCCAAGGTGAGGGTATGGCAGTTTAAAAATGAAGACTGCAACAGGAATTGTAAACACTATGGGGTCAAATCACTAAAGGTTACCGCATGCGATAACATTGTCACGTGACTCATTTGCATAGATGATTGCATGGGGTAACAAAATGTCTAAGGTGTTCACTAAAGGTTACCACATGCAATGACACTGTCACGTGACTCATTTGCATAGATCACATCCGGTAACAAAATGTCTAAGGAGTCAATTCACTAAAGGTTACCGCATGCAATGACTGTCACGTGACTCATTTGCATAAATGATCGCATGCGGTAACAAAATGTCCAAAAAACAATTCTGCGGTTTGTTAGTAAATACCGCAAAAAATCATGCGATAAGCTGTTAAGTCCAGTTCACAAACAGAAGTAAAAAAGTAAAAACAGATGCAATATTTGTCACCAGGGTTTTGCTGGCTGTATCACATGCGGTATTTTCTCAGATGCAGTGAAGGGGGGTCCCCTCCCAAACCCCTAGTGGTCTGGTATGAATATTAAGGGAAACCCCATGCCAAAAGTTTAAGAAAAATGGTGTGGGGGCCCCCCCCTCAAATCCATACCAGACCCAAAATTTCTTAGGATTGTGAGGGGACCTACACACCACTTTTTTTTTTTTCTTCATTTTGGTGTGACGTTCCCCCAAAATCCATACCAGGGCCCTTTTTTCTTCTTTTTTTTTTTTATTTTGGTGTGGGATTTTAAATTTAAATTCCATAGTAGACCGAAAGGGTCTGGTATTGATGGAGGGGGCACACTGTTTTTTTTCCATCATTTGTAATTGCTTGCATGTTTTGTTTACATTCAGCTGTTAGTGGGACATCCCCTGACAGCTGATGAGTCATCCATTGTTAGGGATGCCGCAGATGGCTCCCTTAACCACCTCCCGCCTGCCATATAGTAATATGACGGATGCAAGGTGGTTCTCTCATTCTGGGAGGACGTCATATGACATCCTCCCATTCTCACCGTGCATGCGCAGCTCAGGGAGCGTGGTGCGCTGTGTCCCTCGGACACAGCGGATCACTGATCGCGGAAAGAGCCGAAGATGTCAGTTCGGTCATGTGATCAGCTGTGTCCAATCACAGCTGATCACATGTAAACAGGGAAATGACGGTTATCGGCATTTCTCTCCTCTCGAGCTGTCATGCTGACAGAGGAAGAGGAGAGCTGGTAATCGGCTTTCCGCGGAGGGACATGTACACTGATCATCAGGGCACTGATGATCAGTGTGCCCTGATGATCGGTGTAGCCCAGCAGTGCCACCTGTCAGTGTCCATCAGTGCCTTGTGTCAGTGTTCATCAGTGCCACACAATCAGTGCCTACCAGTGCACATCAATGCCACATATCAGTGCCCATCTGAGCTGCCCTTCAGTGTCACCCATCAGTGCCAGTCAGTGCCACCTATCAGTGCTGCCTATCAGTGACAGTCAGTGCCATGTATCAGTGCTGCCTTTCAGTGGCCATCAGTGATGCCTGTCAATGCCCATCAGTGCCACCTACCAGTGCTTCCTCATCAGTGCCACCAGTGTCCATCAGTGCCCATCACCCATCACTTCAGCCTCATTAGCGCACATCAGTGAAGGAGAAAAATCACTTATTTAAAAAATTTTATAACAAAAACTAAGAGAAAACATTTTTTTTTCAAACTTTTCAGTGGTTTTTGGTTTAAGAAAAAATAAAAAACTCCGAGGTGATTAAATACCATGAAAAGAAAGCTCTATTTGTCACAAAAAAATGATAAAAATTTCATATGGGTACAGTGTTGCATGACCACGCAATTGTCGTTCAAAGTGCGACAGTGCTAAAAGATGGAAATTGGCCTGGGCAGGAAGGGGGTATAAGTGCCCTGTAGGCTAGTGGTTAACAACCAGCTGCCGTGCGTTAAATTACCATATGAAAATATGCAGTAATTACCGCAATACAGATATTTTACTGCACGAGTTATTTACTGCAGAATTCTTAGTGAATTGCACATTTGCAAAACATTTACCGCATACATTATTTTACCACATTTTTTCAGTCGTTATTTAACTCTGAGTGAATTGACCCCTATGTATGTTAACATAGATCACGGCAGGATCAATGTGATTGTACAAAGCTAACCATTGTTCTCTGGTTGCCCTGTTCACATTGCACTTGTGCGCTGAAGTGCTTTGTATATTAACCGCTTACTGACCACCCTATAGCAGAAATACTGCTGCAGGGTGGCATGGGTGCGCAAAATCACACATATATATATATATATATATACGTGATTTTGCATTTACAGTTAGGGCGAGCCCTACCCATGCTACCATTCGCGGCCGTGGCTGTCAATCACCGGGTCCTGGTCAGTAATTATCTGCCAAGTGATTACCGAGCATCTCCGATTGGGAGGAAGACTGTTTTGTTTACAGTCTTCCTCCCTGTCAGCTTCGGCACACTGCTCTGGATGGCTGTACACAGCCATCCAGAGCAGTGTGCTTACAGTGAAGCACATCCCCCTCCCCCTAGTAAAACACTCCCTACACTTAGTTAACCCTTTGATCGCCCACCATATTAACCCATTCCTGCCCAGTGCCATTAGTACAGTGTCAGTGCTTTTTTTTTTTTTTTTTTTTCAGCACTGAGCACTGTATTGGTGTCACTGGGGGTGTCAGTGACACTAAGTCCCCCCCGTGTCAGAATGTCCACCGGAGTCCCGCTAAAAGTCACTGATCGCTGCCATTGCTAGTAGGAAAAAAAATTCCCAGTATCTATACGCCATTTGTAAACACAATATAACTTTTACTTAAACCAATTCATTTACACGTATTGGGATTTTTTTTTAGCAAAGACATGTCGCAGAATACATTTTTAGCGTAAATTTATGACGAAATTAGATTTTTTTAATTTTTTACTGGACATGTTTAAGAGCAAAAAGTCCAAAATATTGTTTGTTTGGTTTTTTTTTTTTTTGCAAAATTTGCCGGTCTTTTTTTTTCATAGCGCAGAAAATAAAAAGTGCACAGGTGATCAAATATCACAGAAAGAAAGCTGAATTCGTGCAGAAATAAACAACGTAAATTTCATTTGAGTGCAGTATTGCATGACTGTGCAATTGGCAGATAAAGTAACACAGCACCGTAATGCAAAAAAAATGGCCTGTCAGTAAGGGGAGTAAATCCTCAGGAGGGCAAGTGGTTAACGACGTCGTGACTACCCAACCGCAATATACTGTGGACAGCTGTTGTAGACAAAGCAATGTGTGCATACATCGCTGCCTACTTCCAGGTTTCGGGTGCGCATGCTCCCTGACACCCAACCTCCCCCCCCCCCGCCCGCCACAAGTATCTGCTGTGGTAGTACAAAGCGAGAGTCTGTCAGCAAGTACTGGACAATAATTCAAGGCCGGCAACTTCCTATCTGCTGTGTACAACCACAGCCCAGAGCTCTGTGTTGGTAAACAACACAGAGCACTGTACAGAGGGAGTGATCTGTCTGTGATCTCTTTCTGTCTCTGAAACTTGGAGATCGTTTATTAAAAGCAGCACACATTTAACCTCTTGATGGCCATAGATGTTAACCCCTTCCCAGGCAGTGACTATATAGTATTATCACTGATAACTGTATTAATGTCACTGGTGATGGTAGTGTCAGATTGCCCGCCTCACTCCTGCAGTCCCATTATAAGTTGCTGATCAATGCCATTAGTAGTATAAAAAGAAAAAAAAATTCCAGTATACATACCATAGTTCATTGGCTCTATAACTTTTACAAATCAAACAAATGATAACCTCTGTGCTAGCCCAAATATATATCAAAACCCTTTGTGTTATGTTGCCGCTCTCACTGTTGTGCGTTCAAACACCATTAGAAATCAATATAGAAAAAGTGTAGCACAACTAAAATGTGTGTAATCCAATATAAATGTGCAAAAAATATTGAAAAAAAAAAAAAGGGAAATGCATCAAACACAATAAGTGCTACAACTGACAATGTGAATAGATAAAGTGCAATGATAAATCCAATATCAAATGTGCCAAAAAATGTTTTTAAATAAAAATGGCAAACACATGTCAATGCATAAAACACAATAAGTGATATGAATAGATAACGTGCAATGAATCCCAACCATTTATTTATATATATATATATATATATATATATATATATATATATGTATGTATAGTGTGTATATGCATATTATAAACTTCATAAATACTAGTAAACACATTAAACTAACCTAATATCAACAAATGCACATAGCAAAATTCATAAAAAGTCCCAGAATATCCAGTGAGAAATTTCTTTCTTCAAAATATCGTGTTTCATGACATGTGTTTGTCATGTATGCTCAATATAAAATTGCTGATGTGCTCCATGGTGGACATATACCTGTAGCACCTGAACTTGCAAAATGTATGGCTCAAATCGCACTGCACAGAATTTGCAGGTGATTTGCACAGGAATGCGGTGCAGTTCATGTGCGAATCACATGCAGTGTGCTGCAGCTCTTCAGTGTGAACCCAGGCTTAAAGATGACTTTTCCCTATATTTCACTTCAGCATGCGTCTTTGCATACTGATGTGCAATCACCTAACACTTTTTTTCCCTACTTGTTTTCCTTAAAGGAAATATTGATGTGGCTCCAGCTGCACATATGCCCCTGGGAAGGAAACGTCTCCATTACTGTCCTGTACGCAAACTGCAAGATTTTGTGAGATCTCGGGGAAGGCGTTTTACTTTCTATCCCCAGCAGATGCCTGTAATGTCATAGGGCGCATGCACAAGATGAAGCAGACAATGTCATGCGCTTCATTACATGCATATGCCGTATCAGTATCAGGCATTTTAAAAATGACAGCATTGGAACAGACACCCAGGGAGGACAAAAATAGGCAAGTATGGAGAAAAAGTCACAAAGATTTAGGTAAGTATCTGATTAGACTATGAACAGCACCAATGGAAATCAATAAAACAACCAATATGTAAAATGTTATATAGATAGATAGAGAGAGAGGGGTGTGCAGCTAATCCAACCCTTAACATATAAAGCAAAAAAGGCAGCACTCTTCCTTAATATAATATCCAAGTGCTGATACAAATCTAAATAAATCTTTAAAACAAAAGTGTATATAAATAAACATTATATATCTACCGTATATACTCGAGTATAAGCCGAGTTTTTCAGCACATTTTTTGTGCTGAAAAACGGCCCCCTCGGCTTATACTCGAGTCAACGTCTGCAGGGGGCTGCTGTCTCTTACCTGGCTCCGGTCCCACGACGATCCGGTCCAGGAAGCGCGGGTGGCTCCTTGATGCTCCTTCATTCGGTTCGTCCACTGGATGTTCGCGCGGCTGCTCGGCTCCGCCTTCTCACCGGTGATTGGCCGCCAGAACTGTAGCTCAGGAAAGGCACACAGGCGGCCAATCACCGGCGAGGAGGCGGAGCTGAGCTGAGCGCCCCGCGAAAATCGAGTGAAGGAGATGCAGGTAAGTGTGCCGTGCTTAGGTGCTGCTGCAACCACATACTGGAACCATACTGGAACAGGGGTCAGCAAGTGTCAGTGGGAGGAATAGTGCCCCATCATTGGTGTCACTGATACCAATGATGGGGCATTATTCCTCCCACTGACACCAACGATGGGGCACGTTTCCTCCCCCCCACTGACACCAACAATTGGGCACTATTCCTCCCCCCCCCCCCCCCCCCCCACTGACACCAATGATGGCGCACTATTCCACCCCCCACTGACACCAATCATGGAGCACTATTCCACCCCCCACTGACACCAATCATGGGATACTATTACTCCCCCCCACTGACACCAACGATGGGGCACTTTTCCTCCCCCCCACTGACACCAGCGATGAGGCACTATTCCTCCACCCCCCCACTGACACCAATGATGGGATACTATTCCTCCCACTGACACCAATGATGGGGACACTATTCCTCCCACTGACACCAATGATGGGACACTATTCCTCCCACTGACACCAATGATGGGACACTATTCCTCCCACTGACACCAATGATGGGACACTATTCCTCCCACTGACACCAATGATGGGACACTATTCCTCCCACTGACACCAATGATGGGACACTATTCCTCCCACTGACACCAAAGATGGGGCACTATTCCACTGACACCAATAATGGGGTGCTATTCCCCCCACTGATACTAATGATGGGGCCACTATTCCTGCCACTGATACCAATGATGGGGCACTATTCCTCCCACTGACACCAATGATCACTATTCCTCCCACTGACACCAATGATGGGGCGCTATTCCTCCCACTGCGTCCAATGATGGGGCACTATTCCTCCCACTGACACCAATGATGGGGCACTATTCCTCCCACTGATACCAATGATGGGGCACTATTCCTCCCACTGATACCAATGATGGGGCACTATTCCTCCCACTGATACCAATGATGGGGCACTATTCCTCCCACTGATACCAATGATGGGGCACTATTCCTCCCACTGACACCAATGATGGGGCACTATTCCTCCCACTGACACCAATGATGGGGCACTATTCC